AAAGCCTGGCAGTGTCATGCTATGACCTTTGTTGCTGTACAGTTTTGCCTTGTGGGAACCAGTTCTCTTACTCTGCCTGAGGGCAACCCAGCCACCTTACTGAAAGGCAGAATAGTAAATCAGAGGTAAGCCACAAGAACATTAATTCTTTGGCTGGAAATCCATTTAACTCAAATTGCTGCAGATGTTATAGAAACAGCCCTACTTGGTGCTTTAACAGAGGATCCATATAGTAGTCAATACCCTGGGGACTCACATGGTTGGACCATGTTCTCTGTCCTCCTCAGCTGTCTGTTAGAGAGATAAGTCATAAATGCATAATGACATCATATGGCATAGTACAGTGGTTAATCTTTTTTTGGGGGGGTCTTTTTGAGACAGGGTGTCCTTGTAGCCCCAGTTGGCCTGGAACTCACTATGTAGTCCAGGCTAGCCTTGAACTTGCAGAGATCCACCTGCCTCTGCCTCCCAAGTGCTAGGATTAAAAGTGTGCACCACCATGCCCGGATTACAGTGGTTAATCTTTATTGTCAACTTGATTGGATTTCAAATCATCTAGGAATTTGAGGCACACTTTAGGCATGTTTGTGAGGGTGTTTCCAGAAGAGTAACTCGTAGAGGAATCCCTGACCTGCATAGAAGCACCATCTTAGAGCTTGGGGGCCTGGACAGAATACAAGGCAAAAGGAGAAATGGACAGAGCACTAGGATCCCCTTTCTCTGCTCCCTGACTGTCATGAGGTAAACTGCTCTGCTCTGCCACACCCTCCTCACCAGATGGACTGATTTCTTAAACCAAGATTCAAATAAATGTTTCTTCCCTTGAGTTGCTTCTGTCAAGTATTTAATCACAGGGAAAAAGTAACACAGTAAGCTGATGGCAATGCTTTCATTTTAGGAATGCAGGGCTTTGGAAGAGGAAAGCTGGCAGTGTTTAAGCATGCATTGTTGAATAAAGCTTGATGTTGAAGGAGACTCTTCAGATGACCATCTCTAATTTGAGGAGCTTTTGTGTTCATTGTAGAATATTTGAGATAATTCTCTCCTTGTTTCAGAGGATGATCAGTGGTACCGTGCCTCAGTTTTGGCTTATGCTTCTGAAGAATCTGTCCTGGTTGGATATGTGGATTATGGAAACCTTGAAATTCTTAGTCTGAAGAGACTTTGTCCCATAATTCCAAAGTTGTTGGACTTGCCAATGCAGGCTCTAAATTGTGTGCTGGCAGGTATGGAATGTTTAGTCCATGTATTCTTAAAATATTGAAACTTAAAGATGGAAGTAGAAGCATGAAAAGTGCAGGAGGCAGGGAAACAGAGCCTCAGAAAGACATGCTTGGAAATGACCACGGATGCAGCTTGTTCCAGTAGGGTCTGGGGTTTCTTCCCATGTCAGTAAACTGCCTCCAGCAAACTTTATTCAGATGTACCATTGTTATAAATAGTATCTAATGTTAGACATTCATGAATTTTTGCTTTGAGCAGTAGTAGTCTTTCAATTATTTAAACTATATTTGCATCATTTCCAAGACCATTTTCATAGCATATGTTGCAAGATCACTGCATAATACTTCCTTAGGATACAGTGATGGAGTCCTGAATATGCTTCTGGTCATGGTTGTGATACATATTGTGCTTTGTTCTCTGGACAGGATTCAACTAGTTTGCACCCAACAGAAAAGTGAGGGAGTGAATTCTGTCTCACATTTGTGTACCATAGGGATACATCAATATTTCTTCATTCTGAAAATCATTTTTCTAAATTAATTCAGTTTGCTCTGTTAGAGGCTGAATATTTTTGGGAGGCATGGTAAATTATTCAGCCTTCAGTTTATGAACTGACTCAGTGTATACCTTTGAGTTGTTGGTTTGTACATATCCTTTTAGTATGGAAAAAAAACCCTCTCATATGTTAATGCAGAAGACCAGTATCTTTTCCCAAGTTTTATACTTTATGATTTTCTTAATAGCCTTATTGACATATAATCTATGCACTGTAAAATAATCCCTGTTTTAGGTATAAAAATCAATAGTCTTTAGTAAACTTACCAGGCTGTACAGCCATAACCAGGATCCGTCTTAGGACATTTCCTTCATCTCAACGATGTCCTCTGTGTGTTTTACAACTTAACCTTGTTCCCCAGGCAGTGACTAATCTTTATAAATTTGGTTTTCTGGAAAATTTGTATTGATGGTATTAGGATTTAATTTTTATGTGGTGGTATGGAAGCATTTAAAAATCAATCCTGTCACTTTGATACCTATAAAATCTTGCTCAAATGAGACTTAGTGGTTCTAGTGTTTGTTTGACACTAGATTTGTTGAACTTGATGGAAATGACACAAAATGTGAAAAGGCTGGTTTCAGGAATTGCCTTCATAGCCTCTTTCCACTTGCTGCTAGGGGTGAAGCCGTCATTAGGGATTTGGACTCCAGAAGCTGTTTGTCTCATGAAGAAACTTGTACAGAACAAAATGATCACGGTGAGAGTGGTGGACAGGCTGGAGAGCAGGTCCCTGGTGGAGCTTATAGACAAGTCAGTGACACCTAACGTCAATGCATCTAGAGTTCTCATAGATGCAGGCTTTGCCGTGGAGGAAAAGGATATAGTAGCAGAAAAAGCTAGTGACATGAAGAAAGCCAGTGGTAAGTAAAGTGCCCTCCAAGTAGTGTTGTAGCCCACACAGTTCTATAAATGTGTGGGCTCCTAAATTCAAGAATTGCTGTTTGTGTGCCTTTCCATGTTTTTAGTCAAGGAATCCTATAAATACATTTCAGAGTGTGAGAGAAAACTGAGATTTTTGTTGAAAGTTTCCTGGGTCATCGACAGCTTTTGAAAAAGGATCAGAAATATGAGTGTAAAGTTCACTGTGACCATGGTTAAGTTGTTAAGACTGAATTTGAAGGTCCACCTTCTTATAAAGAATGTTGGCGGAAACTGAATTCTTCCAGAGCAGATTCCTCACAGCCCCACCAATGACAGCTTCTCCCACCCCTACTCTGTCCCTTTTTGCAAAGTGTTCAATTGTTTTCACAGTTCCCTTGGCCATAGAAGGAAAAGTAGAACCGTTGCAGTGGACATGGGTTGAGTTTGCTGTTGATGAAACCGTCGATGTGATGGTCTGCATGATGTACAATCCTGGAGAATTTTATTGCCATTTCCTTAAAGATGATGGTATGTTGGCTCTTCATTCACATTTGTCTATAAGTACATAGACATATAACTTACAGTGAGTTTATTCATACGTGGTGAAAGAACTCTATGAAGGGCCAAGTGGGGATATGTATTTCCAAGGAAGATTTGATTATACTTAGCTTGCTTTTACTGTCTTAAGCTGTTATTTGGCAACCACTATTTAAACCACTTTAGATTTCATAGAATGCCTTCTGAATTCATTGTTGGAAATTAAATGTATTTGTCGATCTTCTTACCTGTCCCATTCCTAGAGGTAAATGCTTTAGTGGGAGCATAGCGAAATGCATTGTCACAAGACCAGCACACTTGTAAACACACTTATTTGGGAGGAGATAATGTGTGGCTAGTGTCCTAGAAGTTTCCTGCATGGTTCCTCCTATCGGTAACCCTTCTTTCCAGAGGGAAGCATGGTTCTGCCTTCTAATCACATAGATTAATTTTCCTAGTTTTGAACCTTACATAAAACAAAATCATAACTACATGTGTTTTTAGCTTTGCCTTGGTTACTGCTTTTTTTTCACATCATGACGCTGTTCGAAGTAGCTGTAAATGGTCTTTATGTTGCTGCATAGTGTCCTACTATATGAACTATGATTTCTTAATTCCTGTCATGGGACACTTGGCCATTTCCAGTCGGGGCCTGTAAAATGATGGTGAGAGCATCTTCTAAGTCTGCCATTGTACATGTCTGCTGAGTCATAGATGCTAGGCAGATTTTCTGGTCCAGTACATGCAGGCCAGTTTCCAAAGTGATTATGATTTGCTCCATATCTTCACACTTCTCACTGTGTTTTCTTTTTCATTTGAACTGTGGTGCCAGAGCATCATTGAGTTTAATGTTTCTAAATGAGTACATTAAACTACATAACTAAGTCTTGTCTGGCTCCTAAGTCCTGAGACACATTACCTTCAGCATCAGCTGGGAGATGGGCCATTATTTCACATCGAACAAAACTCAGAACTTTAAATTTCCTTTTTATTTTCATAGGTGATTTTCCAAGCATATGATAGAAAATTTAAGAGCAATGAGAGTTTATAGTGGAAAATAAATCTCCCGTTCCTCTTCTCAATTGTCTAAGTATCTGTCAGAAATACTCTACATACTGTGTATAAGTGTATATGTTCCTTTTATGTATCTGTAAATAGTAAAATACATAAATAACTTGCACTTTGCATCTTCAAAACCTTAGATATCAATTCACATATTTTCCTCTACATTTTCCTTCTTAAAATGTTTTTGGTTTTAGACTTAGAATTTGAGAGAAAGACAGCATGGAGTTCTACACACCCCTCACCCAGCTTCTCCATGGATAACATGGGATCCGTTGGTTACTCAGAGAACAGCACTGGTGTATCAAGATCTTATTTGTAGTGCATTAGATTTTTTGCTAAGGATGTGTTCCTGTTCCAGTCTACAGTCCAGGATACCACATTGCTATTCAGGCTTTGTTCCATTCTTTTTCCTGGTTATATTTTCCTCCACGTGGATTTACTTAGTTTAACAGAGGTGTGGATACATAGAGGTTACACTTCTTATACTTGGTTTTACTGTGGAGAATATATTTTTGAGACATATTCCTATAACTACAGTAATGAAGTCAAAAGCATGTGTGTGTGCTTTGAGAGCCGGTGTTGGCAAGCAACCTCTCATGGCAGTGCACAGGAGTCCTCCACTCCATGTCCTGGTACTGGTTTTGTCTCATCTGAAAATTGAAAATTCTACCTCATTGTAATTTCCATTTCCATGAATGAGCCTTCACCACAGTTGAGAGGCATTTGCTGGTTTTGACATAGATTGTGGCTTAGATCCCTCTCCCTTAGCTGCTAAAGCTCTTTGTGATCTGTCTTTTGCTGTTCTCTATAGTGGCTCCCCTCTGCTTTGCCACGCTGCCTCCAGTCCTCTCCTGTGTTTCTGAGTCAGTTCTTTTGGAATCCTCTCTCCATACTGTCAAGCGTGTTGTACTTCAGATTTCTAGCAGGGCTCTCTGAAGTTCCTTATGCTCCATTAACTCTGCTGTCCATTTAGCAATTCGGATTACTTTTTCAGGACAGTATTTACCTTATGGGTTTGTGTAGGGTTTCCTGTCTACACTCAAAGCTTGCACTGTGTATATTGATGGTAATGCTGAACTTGTCATTGTGCCCAGGAAGCCACTGGTTTTGAGTTTGTTGAGAGTTAAATAATGTCTTATTGGCTTAGTAATGTTTGGGTAAGGGAAAGCATTGGTTGTACTTACCAGTTGTTTTGGGATGTATCCATGACTTTTATGATGAAAATGTTCTCTGACTTTAAGGGAAAAAAATCTGTGTTTAGTTTTTATCTTTAATATTAAATGCTCTGTGTATGTTGTATTTTCAGCTGTGAAGAAGCTCAACGATTTGAATAAGTCCTTAGCAGAGTATTGTCTGCAGAAATTGCCTAATGGCTTTAAGGCAGAAGTAGGGCAGCCTTGTTGTGCCTTTTTTGCAGGTAAGTCGCGGTGTGTCAGGGACCGGCAGAAGCTCTTGGTTCTTGATGTTCAGACATTCTTAGTGCATGTTTTCCTCCCTATTGAAGCACATATTTTGATAACCAGAATTAAATAAATGCTTAGGATGCTGTGTGCTTCCTTTATAACAAAGGATCTTCATACACTCATGTCTTTGTACATTATTTTCATACTTTGTAGAATTTCTGATAGTATTGTTAGATTTAAAAAAGTTCTTACAATTGTTAAGATTTTTTTCCTGCTGTTTATATTATTTTACAAAATAAACTAAAGCCATCTAGACCAGCCCAGCACTAGTAGCAGAGTGTATGGTCTTTCCTCCATTTTCACATTGTTTATTGGGTAGATTTTTAATGAATTCTTTAATTTTTCTCAAACGTGAAAGCATGGTACTGTAAAAATTTTTAGAGATATTCTAAAAATGGGTCTTGGAAAGTCTCAATCTAGAAATTTTTGAAGGAAAAAACTAATGGCATAATGTAGAGAAGACAGAAAATTTATTGCTTTATTCTATAAAGCATTTTTTGTTCCAAGATGAAAATTTCCAATGGCAAAGGAAGGGGAATGTTCCATGTCACAAACTCTGTGCTATGTCTAGGTGATGGCAACTGGTACCGGGCCTTAGTGAAGGAGATCTTACCAAATGGAAATACCAAAGTCCACTTTGTGGATTACGGAAACAGTGAAGAGGTTACTGCAGACCAACTCCAAATGATATCATCCAAATTTTTAATACTTCCATTTCAAGGGATACAGTGCTGGTTAGTAGGTATGGTGCTTCAACAAGAAATTCAACTTTTTCAGAAATTTACGATGTATAACCTTTATTATTTTTATTGTATTTTTAATGTATGAGTGTATTGCCTGCATGTATCTAAGTGCACCCATGTTGTGCAATGCCCGTGGGGGTCAGAAGAGGGTGTAGGATTCCCCTGGAACTGGAGTTACAGTTGTTAGCTACCATGTAGGTGCTGGGAATCAAACCCAGGTCCTCTGTAAGAATAGCCAGTGCTTTTAACTGCTGAGCCATCTCTCCAGCCCTGCAATGTATAATCTGCTAATTATTAGTATCAGTCATGTTAACAGTTTGAGTTAGATGATCCCACTTTGTATTA